TTCTTTCCCTTGTCCTTTTTATCACACAATTGAGTTAGCTGAGGGTTATCTGGAAAACTCTAGGACCCAATTCTAACCTGTTTTGCAATCATACCTTCTTAGTCTTGGTGCTGCTGATATTTTTATTAAGTTAGGTATGTTTTTGAAGTTGGGTTGACCCTGTACTTTCTAGTACGTTTGGAAGAATAACTGGTACCCTATTTGGCAGGAGCTAACCCCCTGGTCCAACAGTTATGACAGAACTGTGTGTGGATGTTGCCAAATGTCCTCAGGGATGGAGGGAAAGCACTCCTGGTTGACAATCTCTATAAGTTTTGTAAAGTGCCAAAATAATTAGAAGAACCTACCCTATTTCAGAATACTTCTCCTCCATAAAAGTTCCCTCTTAAAGGATATGAATTACCAGATGAATCTTCAGATACTGTCATGTTTCTTTCAACAAGCAAACGGCAGGCGATGCCCACACATTCGTAAACTCTCCATCAATTGGACTAGATTTACCTAGATGAGGAATGGCTTCCTCTCTGTGAAGCTACAGATCATGGTGTACATTAATGAGTCCTGATGTTCTTCTAATTCTTTCCATTTCCTGTTTTTTATTTTTTATTTTTTTTTTTTGGTCAGAGAGCAGGACTGGGTTTCCTTAGGACTGAGCAGTACCTTGAAGTTCTGGCTAAAGAGGAGCAGAGCCCAGTGCTATTTCCAAGGTAGTGCAGCTGCTTGGTGACATGGGGAACGAGTTTGGTAGTTCTTCGGGTAGCTGTTAAGACTTCGGATGATGGTTAGTATGTGTTTATCAGCTAGGGTCCTCACTGACTGTCATGGTCAGTGCATTCCCACTCATCTGCATAAACACGTGGTATAGACAAGAAACATTTATTTTGTGTTTTAAGTCACTGCAATTTTAAGGTTTTCTCCACCTTAGTGTAGCCTAGATTATTTTAATAAGAGCTGAGAGTTGAGAAGAACTTTTAAAAATTATATTAAATCCAGGTTACTTGTGTTGAAACATAATGCAAATCTCTCAGAACTTGTCTGACTTCACAATGCTGTGCACAGAAAATATGCTTTTTATCCCTCCATAGCTCTTTAAGATTTTGATTCAAAGTATATTTCTCTAAACTTGATAATATATGCAAATTGTACTATTCTAGTATGACAAAGTTATTTTGTAATTTGAGCAATACTAAATTACTATGATGCTAAATATTATGTGGGCTATTTTTCTACTTCAAATTTTGTTGTGTTAACTTTCTTGTGATGAAGACATTTTAATGCCTTAGGGGTGAAATATATTTAGGACATAGATTTGAAGGCTTTAAAAAATAGCTTTCCATTTGCAAAAGGTTTATCAAAGGACATGGAAGTGACACGCAGGAGTGACCAGGATTCCTATAACAACCTCCTGTGCGCTTCCATGTGAAATGGACAGAGGTCTGGAACCCCACAAAAAGTGCATGCAGGCTAAGCATTGGCCTTGGAGACTGCATAATGTTTGGATCATGGATTGGCGAAACTTCACTTCTTTGTGATCTTACTTTTCTCATAAATAGCAATCCCAGCGCTGCCCAATTTGCAGGGTTTATTGTGAAGACTAAGTAAAAGCAATGGAGGAAGGACAGAGCCAGGCACATGCTGAATGATCAATTAACATTGGAAACAGTGTTCCAGAAGTGATCAGTGAAGCAGCAAACCATGTTCTACCCCATGTGACAGACCACGCCTCCTACTTGATCAGTTAGCCTACTTGCAGTGACACTCAAAACAGCTGTGCGCACAAGCATAGCAGCCCTGAGGGATGGAGGTGAGACCTGCTCAGCTCCTGGCCTGGCTCTTCCTACACTGTGCAGTGTAGCCAGCTGGGAGGAGTGGATAAGTCACCAGTCATCCCTGTGCTCCCTCCTCTTTTGTAAAAAGTAACAAAAGTTTAAAAAAGGATACAAAAGAGTTATGACTCACAGGGCTATAAAACTTAATGGACCTTCTTAATTTTGTGACACTTTCCAGGAAAATGATTTTTTGTAAAATTACTTTTGCTTGTAGTGAAACCACACAAAGTTACACCATAGTCTTAAAATTTTTCAGAAGAAATTTAGTGTTGATAGCAGTATCTTGTTGGCACTAGTGTCTTCATTAGTAGTGGGATTTTTCCTCTGTGCTTTGTGGTGAGATAAAGGGAATGTGCGTTTGGAGACATGGTCTCCCTACATAGCTCAGGCTGACCCAGAATTAGAGATCCTCTTCCATCAGCAACTGGAGCACTGGGATTACAAGTGTGCAGGAGCCCATCCTGCTGTTACAGGATCAGGTTGGAGAAAATCATCCAATGTTCCTACATCATATTCTCTTTCTTACACGAATGTAAAAGATGACTTATAGGCAGTTATTAAAAGTAACTGACACCCAGAGTCACTATTTCTCTACCCGTCAAGTAAGCAGTTAGTAGTATATATAATACTTATGATTGCTTGGAAGGTAGGATTGTTAGATGTGAGTTAGAGAAAAATTACCTCCTTAAGTTAGATTATGTTGAGTCAGGAAACAAGTACACAATACTCTGAATGAACAACATACACAGAGCTTCATTTAGTTGTATTAACTTACTTGGTTTCTTTATTACCCAGGTTCTCCAAAATAAGAAAAAACTGGAGCTGGTCTGGAACAGGAGTGGGCAAAGAGTGGCTTAGGATAATAATAGTAGCTGGGATACAGTAAGTGCCCTGCAAGCATTTGTTAAATACACCAGAGGAATGACAAGAATGATGGGAGTTATACAGAACGGCCATGGGATAAAGGCTACATGGCTTTCAAAAGACACAACCTGGAGAGCAACCAGACACAGTGAGTCCTTCAGTATTTGCAGTCCGTGATAAACAAGCAGAAGTATGTTGGCCGCGGAGGGCTGCTTCCCATCATGACACATGGACCAGTGGCTGAGACATAAGTGGAAGTAAAGGAACATGCAGACAGAAAGCATGGCCTTCTTTCTTGTAGATTCCACGGCACACTGGAAGGCCTGTACTGCATCCCAGCTGCTGTTTTCCTCAAAACTACATAGCTCAAAGGCAGTGTGTGTGGGATCCTAAAGTACCCATGAATGTGCCGCTTGAAGGAAAACTTGAGCCTGCTTCACAAAGGGGGCTAAAATTACACTGTGGTGAGGCTGGTTCAGAAACCTCTCAGGCATTTCCTCTAGCGTCCTCTGCCAGTCCATCCGCAAGCAGTCGATGGTGGCACACACAAACTGAATTCACCACCCATGAAAGTCGGCATTTTTTCCTTTCCTTCTTTCTGTACAATTGTCCACCTACCAGCTCTTCTCTGTTTCCCTCTGACACAGTCCCCTCACTCGTCTCTCTGCCTCTGCTGCACTCAGCCTGGGTCCCCCCATCAGAGCCTCTCACACACTCTGCCTCATTGCACCTCATTTGCTTTAGTGATCAACATTCTCCTTATCTTGGCACTCCCCGTCTGAGGAAGACAGTATTAACTTACTACACTGCATTGTAGAATCCCCCTATTCCACTCACATTAATGATGCCATAGCATTACTCATTGGAATCTGCCTCCTTTAAATACAGTTTCTAAAATGTTTGCTATGGTGCGCTTTCCTCTGTTTGGAATAACTTAATCAATCTTTTATTTCTGGCTATTCTAATAGCTGCGGTTATTAATACACTAGTTCACTGTTAACCCTCTAAGTTCCATGTGTCATTGCTCATGCATAACTGTGTTGACTTGGTCTCCTTTCTGTTTTCTGTGTTTACACATAAATGTTCTCTCTCTCACACAACTATAAATTCCCAGATGAGAGAGAGCATGAATTAATTGCTACTTATTTAATAAGTATTGCTGACCTCTAGAACACCACTAGTCAGTGTTTTGGAGATAGTAATGAACAGGACAGAACCCTTCTCTAGTAGCCTCCTGTAAGCTCCATTCTAAACGCGAGCGACTCTGCATATGCTGTGAAGGTGACAGGTAATAGAAAGCACCGTGAAGGAAAGCACTGTGCTAGGAGAACATGGGGAACTTCCAAGAACATACTCCAGAGGAGAGACCAAAATGATAAACTAGAATCCAAAAGGCAGACACGGTCCACAGAAGCTTGGTTCCTAAGGGGAGCAAAGAGCAAGGTTTGGTGCATACTCTGCAGAAGGCAGAAGGCAGAAGGCAAGCCAACAGATGAGGCTGATTAGGACAGGCTAGCTGCAGTTCCTGATACTGAGGCACAACCAGGAAACACTGCCCAGAGGAGTGTGTGCTAAGTCAGCACAGCAAGACATTGCTCAACAAGACTATGTCTGAACCTTTGTTGTTGCTTGCTTTTAAAACAACGCTCACAACCCAGGCTGTAAAAAACAAACACAAATGCTTAAGAGAGGTGTCAAATTCCACATTTTACTGATCCCATCATACAAGACAGGGATACAAGGTGAAAGCAATGACCCTGAGAAGGTGCTGTTTAGCTTAAGGAGTGAGAGGATCTGCTACCAACAGCTTCCACCTTAACTTCCTTCAGCTCAGTACAGAGGCATAGACTAATGACAACAATGCTATGGGCTAAGGCCCACCCCACATCTAAGCTAGATGCCCAAATGCTTTACACAGGGCACTTAACAGATGGTGACCATTACCAACACGAGCAGGATGCAAAACTGTGACCCCAGAGGTGAGAGGTCGTACATTCAATTATAAGTTTCACTCTCTGTAGCAATAAGATGCCCAAAGCAATATATTTTGTTTACATAAAATACATTGTATAAACATATTTGATAAGAGAGATGACTGCTTCTTCTCAACTTAAATCAAAGAATGCTTACTTAAGTGGTTTCTTTTAATTGAATCAGACTTTAATGCTGTCATATAATCTTGGTTAACAGTGCTCATCTTGATTATTCTAACAAAGAAGAAATTAATACTTCAGTTGGAGAGCTCATGTCTCTCTATAAAAACAATAAAAACAAACAAACACACACTAGAAAATTCAAAACAGGTACCTGGGATATCCGTAAAAGTTTCTCCAAGGACAGAGACATGGAAGTTGAGTCCTAAGTTCTTTAGATGCATTAATACCTTAAAAAAACTCTCTGGATCTTTGTCGTGCTCCCTGTAATAAACAGAAAACATACCTAGTGTTAACTCAGGGTTTACTCACACGCTGCCAATTCCCGTCAAGATCCTGTGCTGCTGAGGAAGCCCCTCACATCCAGACCTGCTCTCAGAATCAAACTCAGCCCCGCTGATGCATTAGAAAAGGACCTTTTATTGGAGGGGAAATTCGTCTTGCTTTTGTATTTTTAAGGAAGAGTAAGAGAAGTATATAGTATTTTTTTCCTTCCAAATTGCTAGTTTTTCACTAAACACAAATTTATTTTCTTAAAAAAAATCATGAAAGGATTATTCTTCATTCATCATCAAGAGGAAGTAGCTGAGGTTTGCCTTTCAACAGGAATGAGGCCCTCGCCATGGTACTCAGCCTCACTATGCTGACCAGGAGCACACGATTTAATAACTCTCTTATTTTCAAGAACTCAGTAGAAAATTACAATGCAATAAAAGGGTTGGATAAGTTTGAATCTAGCTCAGATCATGGAGGCTGGCCGACATGTAAAGGAGTCCGAAGAGAGTAACACACTTTCCTTGAGCACAGGCATGAAAAGTATCCGATGCTTTTGGCTTCTTCAGTTTGTCAGTGTTTTCTAACGACAGAATGAGAGGTTAAAAGATACTAAAATTAAAGAAAAATACCCTTCAACAAATCATATTTAAATGGAATAATTTTTTTTAACATTCTAAGGTGTGAATATTACAGTATTTCTTGCATTTATTTATACTGTTTTTAAATTATCTTATTCCAGACAGATGTAGACCAGATGTCTTCAAAATATTTGTTTTTTATTTATGATTCAGAAATTTGAGTTTTTTCATTACAGAAAATAGCTATATACTAGCAATTGAATTTCTCATTTACTAATTATATAAAATAAATCTGTAAAATTATTAAACTGCTATATGAAATATGAACATTACATCATTTGGGAAACCTCATGAAAAATGACATCTGTACCTCTTAATGTGTTAATTCACAATTTAGTCAATATTTTCAGTATCATGAATTAAAACAAATGCATCTTCTAATTAACATTTTAAAACAGCATTTATAATCTTATGAAACTGTAAGATCTTATAAAATTAGAGCTCTCAAACAATTTGTTTTAAGTGCTATGTCTCTCAGTTTGATTTACTTCAAATAATAAAGGATGCAATGGCAAAATGTTCATTGCTTTTTAAGATGATGTGTATTATATACATGTACCATTGGGAAGTGTTTGGATAGTTTTCATATATACTACCGCTGTGGGCAAGAACAAAGACTCCAAACAGTTTGAGAGGAAAGAATATACCATATGCAGTCTTCAACCATATCAATCAAATAACTGCCACCTTATCTGTGAAATGCTCTTTTAGTCTGATTCTCTTGGAGATACTTAGATGAAAAGGATGGAAACAATATAACATAATACAGTGTAAAGAGAGAGTAACACTGTAGGGAAATCTAGCCACTCAGTTCTCTAAATTTTTCATTTGGCGTTCCAAAAATCTGGCTACAGATCCCTGGTATATCATGTATTCTAAATATTGTCTCATGTGTGTGTAGGGGGAGGGCACGGGTGGGGGTGGGCACATTCATGGAAACACAGAAAGAGGTGCAGTTTGCAGGTGAGATGAGACTTAACCGGGTAAAGAGCGTAGTTCCCAAAACTTTCAGTATTTAAAAAGGCAGTAGGATTTATGAACAAACATGTTCATTGCTTCTATACGAAACAAATGCATTGCAACCTACCACAAACTTTAGATCTTTTGTAGGTAGACAAAACTTTTAATATTCAATAATCATTTTGCATAAGAACAGAAAACAGACTGGTGTGAATCCTGTTTCATTTTGTTTCAGTCATAAATACAGCTGAACATAAAGTGAACATTTACTTGTTAAAAGTTATCCCTCACAAACAGGGAAAATTTATATTCAAGTTCCTATAAAATGTATCATGACATGGGGGAGCTCTATTCATTTTTGGGAACAGCCTGTTAGACTTTAACTGGTGAGAATTTTGCACGACTGTAGCACTTCTTCACTTGGTGGTACTAGTAAAAGCAGACACACAGGAGTAAACACTGAGGTGGAATCAGTATGGGAAGTATGACCTAACAATTCCAAGTCCTGGGTAGTTTTGGAAACAAATACCAAAAAAACCACCACCATCATCACATGCATGCATGTGCACACGCGCGTGCATGCACACACACACACACATACACACACACGTTAAGTGGTCACTAGAGATCATGAGCAGCAAGCAGGTTTCTACAGGTGGGGAAGAGATTTCTAGTGATGTCATGGCAATTTCAGTCTTGTTCTGCAGTCCTCTTAGATATAGTCTTTAGAGGGCAATTCGCCAATAGTCACCATAAGCCTTAATGTGTGCATCACTTTTCCTCTAATAATAATTTATGAAATCCAGCCTAAAAAGACACATACAGAAATTCTCCTACAATGTATTCATAACAGCAGTACTTATAATGGCAACTTTGTAAAAATCTAAAGTGGTAACAATAAAATATATTTTTGATACATATGATACAATTTTTAGCAATAATTAAAAATAATGTTTTATGCTTCTGGACAAGGAAAAACATCCAGTACTAAGTATTCAATAGTACCAAGAGTTGTAGAGAAGCATGAGTTTTACGATTTGCCTGTGCAGGACAAATAGATGCCAATAATTATTTTGAAGTTCATCTTTAAATTTTTAGGTTTGTTTTGGCTTGTTTTCTATTTTGTTTTTAATAAGCTTGGCTTATGTAAATGATTTTGAACATGAAGGACCGACTCCTAATAGTATACCACAACTCTATGTTCATAGGCTTGACCCTTTCAGTACCCAAATGTTCCCATTTGTTTTCCCACGACTCTTTATTTGACAAATGCCAGTCAAGTAAACTTGTTTTAATAAACAAGACATTTCAGTCAATGTGGCAGGGTTCAGGCTTCCTGCTCATACCCGTCCTAGTGCGTAGGTAAGGATAGAACAGTCTGGCAGGGAGTTCATTCCTCCACACCCCCACTACAGCAGAAGAGACCAGCAGGGAAATATTTCAGGCTTCCTGGAAGCTGAAGATACGGCAAGAACAGCTTTTATTCCCAAATATTATTCAGAACATTTGAAAAGCATAAACTGTTTCCATGTGTTTTTTTCTTCCTATATCTGTCTCTCTCTGTTGCCTTTCCTGTTTCATTTCAGAGAGCTAAATTTCTTCTTATTCCTCACTTAGCACTCATTCAGTAAATATTTATTGAGGATTTCTAAGTTCTCCATACTTGTCACTTACACTGTTACCATTTCTGATTTTCCCACATAAGTGTGTATATATTGAGCAGTCTTTGATCTAGCTCCTGCCTGGCTTGGGGGAACCTCACTCTTTCCAGAAGCGTATTACTCTGCATCCAGAGTTCTGTGGGAAGGGCAGATGATGCCTGCTTTGTTCACTGAGTACCAAGTGAAGAGCTGAGCAACGGGAGATGTTATTTGTGTTCATTAATACCCAGGTCTCTATTTCTGGGGACACAAATTCCTTATGTACTCCCTTGCTGGGGGTGAGGACCAGTTCCAGCCAAAGGACTGCAAGCTGACTGGCATCCATCACCTTCAGATAAACATATCTGAGAGCAGTTCCACATAGCTCGGTAAACCCTGCAGAGATGCTGTGCTACGATACGCACATTCAGGTGGTCACATGGAGACTGGTGCCATATGCAGCGGCATATGGAGGTGAAAGGCGATTCTTTTGTCAAAGCAACTAAATCCTATGGGGGTGTGGAAGTGTTCACTGCTGCAGCATAACCTAGTTTACTTCAATCAGAGTACCATCTGTGGCGCACAGTCAGCATTTGTAGATGTTCCACCTAAGCACCTAATGATAATCTTACTTGAATGTCTCAACCAAATGACCATCGAATATAACCGTTCCAGCATCTGAGACCACACAGGAATCTCACACCAGAACCTACATACTATCTCTACAGAATCATACTTTTCTTCAGCTCATTCTGGTCTTTGTGTCTTTTTCTTCCTGCACATACTGAGAGGAGGAAGGAAGCTTGCACCTTCAGCTCACAGTTTCATTTTCAGATCATTAAGCCACAGGCGTTCCTTAGCTTCTGCTACTGTTGGGGCAGACAATAAATATGGAGAAGCAATATATAATCACAGTTCTTCAATGAGGCCGTTTCAAGCATCTTGACCTTCCTGAGGATTTGCTAACCTATCTCTATCTCATTACAAACACTATCTCACAGGATGTGAGCCTGTAATTTTAGCACTTGGGATGCTAAGGCAGAAGAATCTCAAGTTTGAGGCAGGCTTGGGTTAAATACGGTGATGCTTTTTCAACAAAACAAGCCAATCTCTCCAATAAAAACAAATCAACCAACAAAACAAATAATTAACCAACCAAGACCTTAAAACATCTCACACTTCCAAATTTTGCAATGCAATTCTTACTCAAACACAGGCTTCTATTTCCCAACTAAGCTGTTCGTTTGTCATCACAACTGATCTGATCTGATTTCTAAGACGTACTTTTCACTTGCTCTGTCCGACATTAACAGGCAGTGTGCAGCTTTTGCTCAAGGATGATTTATCTTCACTAATAATAACCAATTTCTTCATTTCACTTCCCTTGTTCCCTTTTGCTCCTGAAATCTCAATTTCTCCCTCTCTTCCCTCTTCCCATCCCCATCTCATTTGTCTTTCTTTTACTAAGTAAACCTTACAGCAACAATTATGTGCATAAGGGAGCTGCTCCACCCACTCACCTAAGACCTGAACTGACCAGTGTGGTTACTATGCTCGGCCTTGGGGTGACCCACCCTAGCATCTAACCGTTCATCTAGCATCTAGGTCTGGCTGGAGCTGCTAAAGAGACTAGTCTTGTGGAAGGATACCCGTAAGTTCTCTAAGACTTGACAGCCACAGGACATCCCAGAGGAGTTCAGGTTAGGATCCAGAGATGATGGTGTCCCAGAAACCAGAGGTCTTGAACCAG